AAAAAAAAAAAAAAAAAAAAAAAAAAAAAAAAAAAAAAAAAAAAAAAAAAAAAAAAAAAAATAATAATCAGGGGTTATTATTATTATTGTTTATTATTATTATTGTTATTATTATTATTATTTTAATGAGTCAGTTCAGCCCTAAGCAGGACCAATCAGCACAGTTCAGCCGTTCCAGTGCAGTGGACCAGTCAAGACCCTTCTGTGCATTGGTGGGGGATTGTTTCAATGCAACGCATTTCTTACAGGAGGAGCCAAGAATCCGTCACTTGAGTACCCATCAAGTGAAGATCGAGCAGGGGAGCAGATCTCAAAAAGATGGGCAGTGAAAGACCTATGCAGATTGCTTTGACTTGGAGAGATTGGCCCTGACTGACTTGGTTAGAGTTTCTTTGTATCGTTTTGATACACTAAGCACATGGTGTATCTAAACAATTTCATTTTTTTTTCAACTCGATTACATTATCATTTTTTTCAACACACAAAACGCCATTTTGCATTAGACAGCTGATTCACCCGCTGATCAGGGTTTACACATTTTGTTGAATCAATAAGAAGACACATCCTCACTTATTAAAAGGCTTTGCATCAGCAAGTGTGCATTGTACCACTAACTATGAGAGGAGAGCCTAAATCGTATGTTTTAATAGAATACGATGTACCAAAAAACCATAGGAGGGTTGTATTTAAGGGAGAAACTTGAATTTAAAAAAACTTACTCAGGATGATAGCATATTGCAAAAGGTTTCTTGACAATATCATATTTTGTTGGTGGTAAATCTTGATTATTACTCAGACTGAACAAAAAGGCTTTCTCTGAGGGTATATAGTGACTACCTTTAGTGGACTTCCCCCACGGTACATCACTGAATCCGCCACAAACTTCTCCTCTATTACCCTGTAAAATAAAATAACAAGAGTTAAATGGTGTGTGAATAAAATATTTGTCAGTAAATTTTGACAGTTATTATTTTCAAGAGATTAGGGGAGGGTGCGGATTAACAACCAAAAAAAAAAACAGGCAAAAACCGCTGAAAGGTCGATAAAAATCAAGTTTTCCATATTGTTAAGACCAGCTTCTACAAAGGCTGTCCCAAAAGTTTCGCATCGGTACACCGTATACCTAAGCCAACAAAGAAAGCTAACGAGTTGCGGTTTGCGGGGTTCTTTAGATCAACTCATTAGCTACAAAACGAGCCCTTGTCGAGCTCATTTTGTCAAAAATTGACTAAGATAGGTACACTCAAAAAAAAGGAAATGTCGAAGTAGCATTAACCGCCATGTTGAAATGACATCACAGAAATTATGTTGATATAGGCTGCACTCCCCGTAACCCAACATGGTTTGACTTAATTCTACATTTGTCGTCATGTTGAACCAACATGACCGAGAATGCTTCTACCTGTCATGGTGAATCAACATGACGGTGATATTCGAGTAACATTACGCATGTTAATTCAACAAAATTCATGTACATTTAGCATTATGTCAGACTGAAACTGTATTACACATGTTGTTTTACCATTCCTTTGGTTGAAAGAACATTAACACTTGTTGAATTAGAATATGCAGTGTTATGTTACCATTTGCTTTCATATTGTTTCAGGAGTACCGTGGTGCTCTTGAAACATCATCTACGTACTGAAAAGGGGATGGCGTGTTCTCCTCCTCTCCCTCCTCCTCATCTCCCTCCTCCTCCTCATCTCCCTCCCCCTCCCTCCCCCCTCTCGCTCCCTCCCCCTCCCACCTCCCACCTCCCCTCTCCCATCCCCATCCCCATCCCTCGTATTTTGCTCCTTGGGAGGCGCGGTTATAAGCTTTACGTATGTTAATCCCCTCCTCCTCCCCTCCTGACATCTCGGGAGATTTCAAGAAGTCATGGGCCGATTCCATAGGAGAATTTGAAAGTTTGCGGTCGCTGCTGGCTGTTGACCGTACGCCCAATCATTCATTGAGAGGGGATATTGAATTTCCATCGATGAGATTTTGAGCGTTCTGGAGCCACAGTCAAATATATACAGCACCGAACAGTTAACATAAGACATGTTGCAGAAGCTTCATGATTTCGTTTCATAAGCTAGACATCTAAGCCACCTGACTCGATAGTCTTGACACAAAGACAAGATTGTCTACTCACTGCGAGTAACGTTCAAATTAAAAAATAGCGTACCTATTTTTTATTCAGAGAACTGGTACTATTACTCTTTTCAAACCATTCGTTGGTACATTCTGAAAAAGTCTCTTAAGAAATACGTCCCAAAGTATTTACTTAAAAAAATTTCTGGATACCCAATTGATAAGGTAAAAACACAATTTAGACACTTTCGGAAACAAAATAAATCGACTCGAATAACGCTATTAACGCTCACCCTGAAAAAAAAATGGTAATATGGTAATAATACTTACACATGAAACAAAAAGAATTACTTTTCAGTTGATGATAGTTTATTATTCTTTTTTCAAAAACATTTTCGCTCGTGTGGTTAAGGCTCTTAAAATCCTACGTTTCTAAATACCTATTTGATTATATTTTTTATTTTCAATGTTTGATTTATTTATATTATTAATTATTATCATGATATAAAATAAGAATAAAAATGACAATCGTAAACACTGAAGAAAGTAAACACCGTTGTTGGAGGAGAAAAAAATAGGTAGTTTGTGATAAATTGTTGATTTTTATACGGTGCATAATGTAAATTCCTTTTCGTAAATAGTGAATGGAAAAAAGAAAAACCTAACAATCTAATGCGGTATGCATTTCACACAACTTAGACGGCAAAAAAATGAAAAAGTAATTCAGTGGGATATGGAAACACTGTAACCCGGTCTCCGGACATATAATTTGAATATGCGCGGTTTGGTCCCTCTGGTCCCCGGGCACGTTGATTGGTCTCTCTCTACTGGCTGTCGGCCAGTGGGGAGAGGGCAATTGGCATTGCCTGGGGAGTGGGGGGCCCGGCCGCCATTCAGTTTTTTGCCATCTCCCAGAGATACCTCATGTAAGTTTTATCATCTTTTTGAAAGGGAGGGGCTTCGGCCCCATCTAGTGTTTTTTGTCTTTTATCATGTGCTTCAGGGTCCTTGCCCGCTATTTGAACTTTAAAAACCGACGTTCGTCCTTTACCTATCTGTTTTCATTCATCTATCTCGTCTGAGGCTTACGGGCCCCGGCTTCAACACTTAAAATTCGTCAACCGGAACCACATGCCCGGGTGGCTCGGTTGGTAGAACACTCCGCTTGTAATAGGTAGGTCCCGCGTTCAAATCCCGAAAAAGTCGGAAAAATTTGATAGGTCGGATGGGATGATTCTGGGTTGAGAGTAATATCGGAAGTATAACTACATTAAAAAACGATACAATTTTCATAAGAATAACGTAATTTATTTTAATTTGTAGCATTTGACGTACTCCTATATCAACATGATTGTCATGTTAAATCAACATGATTGTCATGTTAAATCAACATGATTGTCATGTTAAATCAACATGACAGCATGTTGAGTCAACGTGACGACTTCGTATGGCAACATGATAAGTCATGTTGATTTAACACGACGGCTATCATGTTTCTTCAACATTTTTGATTATGTTCCCGTAACATGCTGTAAGCTTGTACCCGTTTTTAAGACGCCCGTCATGCTGAATCAAGCTTGCTCAAGCTTAAAGTAACATTTTTTTTTTTTTGAGTGTACCTACAGCGTTTTTTCGGGGACGTGTTGGGTGGACCCCTACCAGATTTTAGGACTTTTTTCTAAGGAAAACATAAGAGTTTACCAACACTATGTGCTTCCAAAGCAAACGGTTGATAGTGCGTATTATATCAGTGTGTTGATTCTCTTCGAACCCATTCGTACAAAACGCCCCGATATGAAGGAAACGTGGATCTTTCACTAGGACAACGCTCGTCCACACACGTCCATTCTCACGCGCGAATTTATGGAGTCAAAAGACATGGTGATCCTCCCCCCGCCCCCCCTACAGCCCGGATCTCGTGCCTTGCAATTTCTGGCTTTTTCCAGAATTAAAAAACGCTGTACGAGGTACCAGGCTCAATTCAATTGCTGAAATTAAGGCCGCAGCTCAAGCTTTTCTTGGAACTCTCACTCCCGAATGATTTCGCAAAAACGATTTTGGTCAAATGGGAAGAACGCTTGCGTATCTGTGCGTCAAAGCTGGAGGAAAGTAGGTACTTTGAAAAAGAATGAAGAAGCTTAGAATTGTCAGATGAGGAGCCATAAAGTATGTAAACTTCATTAGAAATACTAATTCAGTTCATGTCTTAATACACGCATCTAATGTTTAAACTTTGTTTGTATGTTTCCCCCCCCCCTGAGAAAAGTTCTAAAATCGCACCCAACACGTCTCCGAAAAAACGCTGTATCTTGGTCAACTTTTGACGAAATGAGCTCAATAAGGGCTAATGAGTTGATCTAAAGAACCGCGCAAGCCGGAACTTGCTAGGTTTCTTTGTTGGCTTATACGGTGTAGGTACTGATGCGAAACTTTTGGGACAGCCTATGTAGGTGGCACAAAAACTTCCTCCAGTATAATTATAATTCTTACACACTCTTATAATGAACCATAAAATTAGAATGTCTATATGTTTAAATTGAAAGCTCAATTTTTGCATGCTCGCCTAGTCACACGAAAAAATCGGTGAAAATCGCTGACAGGTCAACAGATTCTTCTCAATTATTTCTAAGAAGCAAAATTCTGAAGAACGATCACTGCCGATAAACGAA